AGGAAAATCTTACCCATCAAATGTATCATCTTAACAGACCATGTTTTCAGGAATAACTACATTTAAATTACATTTTAAAGTTTTTGTTGTACATATTTAAGGTTACAATGTGATGTTTTGATATACATAGTGAAATAGTTACTTAGTCAAGCAAATTAACATATCCATCCTCTTGCATAGAAAACTTTCTTATTTGTGGTAAGAGCACCAAAAATCTACTCTCCTAACAAATTTCCAGTATACAATACAATATTATAACTATAGTCCTCAGGTTGTACCTTGAATTTCTAGACTTATTTGTCCTACATATCTGCAGCTTTATACCCTTTGATCTACATTTTCCCATTTTCGACCCCTATCCCCACCCCTGGTTACCACTTTTATTCTGCATGTGTTTGGCTTTTTTTTTTTTTTTTTTAAGATTCCACACAAAATACATTAGTAAGATTTTGCACTATATTTCTTTCTGTGCCTGGCTTATTTCACTTAGTATAATGTCCTCCAGGCTGATCTGTGTTATTGCAAATGGCAGGAACTCCTTCTTTTGTACGTATATATTCACAGTTTCTTCACCCATTCATCCTTCGGTGAACACTAGGGTTGCTTCCACATCTTGGCCATTGTGTATAATGCTGCAATGAATGTGGGAGTGCAGCTATCACTATGAGGTGCTGATTTCATTTCCTTTGGGCATTTACCCTGCAGAGGGATTGCTGGGTCATATGGTAGTTCTATTTTTAATTTTTTGAGGAATATCTGTGCTGTTTTCCATAATGGCTGCAACAATTTACATTCCCACCAACAGTGTATAAGGGCTCCCTTTTCTCTACATCTTTGCCAACACTTATCTCTTATGTTTTTGATAATAGCCATTCTAACAGGAGTGAGGTGATATCTCATTGTGGTTTCAGTTAGCATTTCCCTGATGATTAGTGATGCTGAGCACCTTTTCATATGCCTGTTGGCCATTTTTATGTCTTCTTTGGGTAAATATCTATTCAAGTCCTTGCCCATTTTCAAACCAGGTTATTTGTTTGTTTGGTTTTTTGTTTTGTTTTGCTATTGAGTTGTATGAGTTTCTTGTATATTTTGGATATTAAGCCTTTATCAGGTATATGGTTTGCAAATATTTTCTCCTTATTTATAAGCTGCTTTTTATTTTGTTGATTATTTCCTTTGTTGTGGAGAATACTGTTTTTTTACAATAAGAGTATGGGCATAAACAGCTCTTTATACTACCAAGGGATAAATAAACTTTCCTGAAGTTAATTATTATTGTAATTCAGAAAAGTAATATATTTTGAGGGAGTAAATCCTAAAAATAACATTCTCGCTCCAGCAGAGCCCATCACGGACATCAAAAAAACGTAATAGCTTTTGTTCTAAGACACATGGTGTGAATAATGAGAGAAATAAACAAGAAAGCTAGTATTACACACACATCTCCAGGGGACAAAAAAGGATTTGCCAAAACCAAGACCTAGCCTGCCAAAAATTAAAGGAAACAACTGTGCTGAAAGAAGGTGCAGATGAATGATAAAGGAAAAGGAACTTCCTGGTGTTTATGCCACATTTTGATGGTATTTTACTTTCCTATTGCAAAGACTACAGTTGTGCATAGAAAGCGTAGGTGAATGCTCGCAGGTTGATATGAGATATCAAGAGTCCCCTATTCAAATGTATTTCTCATCTATCAATTTTCTCTGATGTCTGAACTGCCATATTTAGAAATACAATATGCTTTCATAAGGAATTAGCGATGTATAAAGAAGACATTATCTTTTAAGAAGGTAATTTGCCTTTTTCTTTTTTCATTAACAGCCTAATTGTAGGTTAGTGCAATTGACAGCTAAGGGTATGTTTTGAAGCTAAAGAAATTCAGAGCATTGCCTGTGCAAGTCGAGAATCTGGAGGTTAAAAAAAAAAAAGAGGTCCTAGGTCAGCCAGGTAATCACCAAGAACATAGGATATTATTAACCAGAAAAGAGGACACTGAAAAAGAAGAGATCATTAAAGGAAAATCTTATCATTTTACTAAAAACCCAAAAACAAACGAACAAAACAACACTCCTATGGTGCATGCTGAAAATATCAGGACCAGAGCACATGAGAAATATTTAACATTTTTGAATGTTTTTTCATGTGCTAATAATCAGAATGGTTCTAAACAAAAGACTTTAGGGAAAAAATGTTAATCAAATTTAGACAAAGGCAACAAGCACGTACATTGAGGAAAAGACTGCATTTCCAATAAATGGTGCTGGGGAAATTGGACATCCATATGCGGAAGAATGAAACTAGACCCATACCTCTTGCCATATACCAGAATCAACTCAGAATGGATTAAAGACTTACATATAAGACCTAAAACTATAAAACTACTAAAGGAAAACATAGGGGAAACACTTTAGGCAATAAGACTGGGCAAAGACTTTATGAATAAGACCCCAAAGGCACAAACAACAACTGAAAAAATAAATAAATGGGGTTATATGAAACTAAAAAGCTTCTGCACAGCAAAGGAAACAATCAACAGAGTGAAAGAAACAACCTACAGAATGGGAGAAAATATTTGCAAACTGTACATCTGACAAGGGATTAGTTTCCAGAACATACAAGGAATTCAAACAACTACACAGTAAAAAATCAAATGATCCAATTAAAAAATGGGCAAAGGAACTGCACAGACATTTTTTGAAGGAAGACATATAAATGGCCAACTGGTACATGAAAAACTGCTCAACATCACTAATCATCAGGAAAATGCAAATCAAAACCACATTGAGATATCATCTCACCCCAGCTAGACTGGCTATAATCAAAAAGACTGATAATAACAAATGCAGAGGAGGATGCAGAGAAAGGGGAACCCTCCTACACTGCTGGTGGGACTGTAAATTAGTGCAGCCATTATGGAAATCAGTATGGAGTTTTCTCAAACTACAGGTAGAACTGCCATACAATCCAGCGATCCCACTGCTTGGTATATACCCAGAGGAATGGAAATCATCACGTTGAAGGGATTCCTGCACTCTCATGTTCTTTGCAGCTCTATTTACAATAGCCAAGATATGAAACCAACCTTAATATTCATCAGTGGATGACTAGATAAGGAAAATGTGGTATATATACACAATGGTATACTACTCAGTGATAAAAAAAGAATGAAATTCTGCCATCTGCAGCAACATGGATAAGCTTGGAGAAAATTATGTTAAGTGAAATAAGCCTGGCACAGAGGGAAGCTAAGTAGGGAAGCTAAGAGAGAAAGAGGGAAGGAAAGAAAGACCACAGTGGTGCATTGAACTTGCAGAGGGAGAAACAGACCTAGGGTTGGACCAAGGGGTTAGGGAAGGGAGGGAGAGGAGCAGTGGGGAGAGGCTGGGCAGGGATACAGGGAATAATTGTAATTTGAGGTGGTGGGTAAGCTGATAGCATTCACTTGCTCACCATATCTTGGGCAGAGGTGCTGACAGTCAGCTCTTGCCTCATGAATATGTATAATCAATGCATTTTTAAAAAAAATTTAAAACGTAGAATCTATCATAAAATTATACTGGATCTATTGTTTTAGTCATTGCAGAAAGAGTTATTTTTCATACTCTGCTAAAGTAATTCGAACAATGGTATCAAATATTTCTGTTGTGCAATTCCTTGAACTTGTTAAGACAATTGAACAGATATGATGTAGGGGGGAGGGGGGAGAAGAGGAACGGGTAATGGGTCATGAAAATCAACTACAATGTATATTGAGAAGTTAAAAGAAAAAAAATAAAATTTAAATTTAAAAAAAATTCTGTTTGCAAACATGCACTGCAACTTCCAAAATACACACTTGACAATTGGTGGCAAATACACTAGCATCTGTGACACCTATTTCTAGCATTTTAATAACTCACATAATTAGCTCTCTGTAGTAATTTGTTGTACACCTTCATCAGTATAGATTAGAAATTGACTTGCTTCTATAAACATTTTGAAAGAGATGACTTTCTCTTTATTTACTTCTGATGGACTTAAAGACAATTGTCTTTAAGTAAATAAATATTTTGTCTCCATGTTAACAGAAAAGAAGAAAATGGTCTTTATGAAAGTAATGTGAACTACAGGAGAAAGTTACAAAATTTTCATGTTCAAAGAACTTTGAGAGAACAGATTAGATCAGTAGTTCTCAACAGGGGGGGACTTTTTCCCCCAGGGAATATTTGGCAATATCTGGAGATGTTTTTGTTTATCACAACTGTGGGAGGGGAATTGGAATCCAGTGAGTTGAGAAACCCAAGTTCTGTATAGCCTTAAGATTCTAAAAAAATTCTATCTGGTTTTATAATCACCTAAAGGTGCAATGATCAGAATATCTCAAAGATGCATGAATTCTTTCATGCCACTTGATCATTTTAAAATATTGCAAGTAGATCCCTAATTCAATGTGCTACATAACTGAATAGCATTCATCCTAAGTGCGTTTTTTAAATGGGGAATATCATAATCACTGGGAAACTCTGGTTTAGAAATGTACTTTCTTTGAAAAAAAAATCTAAATTTTAGAAGGAATTTCCCTGAGTAGTTGCACAAAGAAGAAAAAAAATGGGAAGAAAATTATTCCATTCTTTTAATTCCCACAGAGACTGAAAGAGATCTATGTGAACATGTGGCTCAAATAAAATTTACTAATTCTCAGTAATTTCTTTTTGCCAAAATATTTTCAAATAACTTAGTTTCTTATATGTGTTATGTTTTTCTAAAATTTCAGTGTCATAACCTATTGCATTTTTTACTATGTATAATAATGGAAAATTTCTATTCATTGATTTTTCTGAAAATTAGTAATACTGGAATATAAAATTCCAGGGAGCATTGCAGTACAACCTGTGCCATCCAGAAACTCTATTTATAAACCATAATGACTTAAGATTTATCCAAGTATTGGGTTGTGATGAGGTGTTTTTGGACACTGTGTTATGAAGAAGTAAGGTAAAAATTGTTCTCTGACTTTTTAGCTAAGAATGAAACCTTGGCATTACCTGCTGAATCTAAAACCCCAGAGGTGGAAAAAATCCCAGCACAGCCCATAACAGGTAATGAGATTTCTATGTTGTTGACCTTGAGAAAAGAAATAACATGTTTTTTCAAGTAGTCAATTATCTACAAGCTTTTTTTTTTTTCAGTGAAGAGCCAGTATGAAATTCATTTTGATCATAAGCACAAAACAGTAGGAGATTCTAGGTTTTTTAATGTTTGGGAAAATGACAATGTGAAATGAACTATTGAATCATATAACTGATATGTAATATGGAAGTGTCTTTTTACTCTAAATCAAAGTTGTTACCTCAACACTCTGAAATGTTTTTATGCTAAAATATAATACCATAGTTTTGGTGCTTTCCTTTTATATGCAGACATAACAAAATTTTTCATTTCTTCACTTTCAATTTAGCAAAATGCCATATATTCCTCACAAACCCATAGCTTGATATCTATGAAAATACCCTGGATCATTTAGAAGCAAATGTCTCTGAGAGATTCACGACCTTCATGTAGAGTATAATATTAGTTGAGTACAAATCCTTTGAAGAATAAATGCAGTAAGAATTTTCCCCATACTTTATCACTGTTACTTATAAACATTTAGGATTTCTTCTCTGAGTGAACCACCCCAAGTTCAGTTCACTGGGGAGACATTAATCAATGAACTACAGAGTTTTTGCCAGAACAATACCATCTTATCTAGGACTTGAAACAAACATCTGGCAAGAATTCTCCACAATCCACATTTAGCAAAGTAACTCCAATCTAAAGTGAAGTTTTAATCCATAAAATTGCCATAATTTTAAATATTGGTGATGTTTACCATTTGGACTCGTAATTGGGCCAGAGAAGATATTGATGGGGCAATAAAATAATTTCAAGAAACCCATTCTAGTAGGAATATTTCTGACAGAGTAAGATAAATGTGGTCCTGCCTAAAGAGAAGAGGTGGACTTTTCATCCCCACCTTCAGGGGAGTTGGGGCAGAGGTAGAAGCTATTCAAGCTACTGGAGTAATCCATTTGGATGAAATTCCTAGGTGATTTCTGATTTCAGTATGATTTGTCAATACCAATAAAAGTATAGTCCTGACTCCATGGGTGACTCCAAGTCCTTTTTTGCCTCAAAGAGTCTACCCGTTTTTCCCAATTATACTTTCTTCTCTTGGCACAGTGTCTGATGGGAGAGTCTTAGTTCTCTGCCAAACCCTCCTCAGAATTTTCCACTTCAGAAACACTTAGGCAAACACCACAACTTATTATTCTGTGTTATGTTTATTTCATATCTTTACCCTGAAAACTTCTGGGGTTTTCTAGCTTACAATTCATTCCAGATCTCAGTGACCCTGGTTCTTATTTCTCTAAAACTGTTCGCCTGAGGTCTTCATTGTATTTAGTCTAGCACTTAGGACAACCCTGTGGCTGAGCATTTGAATCCTGATCGTAATTTCAACCCAGTTCCAAGCTTTGCATGTTGAATTCAGAGTAAGGGAAATCTTACACTGTAATAGCTCTAAGTAAATCTTTTAGCCCTGAGTAATTCTTTTGTCAATTTATTAACTTATGTAATAAACTATTATGAACTTGTGTGCTAAGCCCTGGAGATAAAGAAAAAGGTAGACAAGAAATTATGATTAATCTTAAGTGCTTTAATGGAAGTCAGTTCAGTGTGCTTTTTTTGGAGCAGGTAGAAAGTGGACCAAACCCAGAAAGGAAGGGTTGAGGAGGAGTGTTAGTTCAGGCTCCTGGAGCAACCCTAGGAGTCCTTAACATTGATAACTTGAAAAGAAATGGGCTATATAAATATCAGTGACTAATTCTATAGGGAAAAAAAGTGTCTCATGGTCTATGATTGCTTCATCATTCTGTCTTAATTTGTAAAGTTATCTTTTTTACCTTTCAGTGACTCCTGAAATAGTTCCAAGAACCACTAAACCCACTATGTCTAGTGCACTAGGCGTTTCAGAAACAACACTGGGTAATTCTAAGAACATTTTTTTTCTTTAAAAAAAAAAAGCAACAACAAAAACACTCCCAACACTCATAGAAAAGTAACCCCAATGCTTTAGCTTCTCTCTGTCTCTCTTTTCCTCTTACTCCCTTTCTTTCCTTCCTGGCAGTAGTTAACCTTCCTCTCTCTTGGACCAATTGCACTGAAGAGTAAACATCATGCCTGATCCTGGTGGCTGATATTTTAAGGAGATCTGGATGCTAGCTGCTAACCCTTTTTAACCAGTCTCTTGAGTTACATAAATAGAATACCAGCCTTTTAACCCCCAGATCTTAGAGGGAAACCTGGAAGTCTGGACTCTGTGCTTTCTGCTTAGATTGGCTTTTGGAAGTCTTGTGCATACTAAACCTGGGGAGAATCCCCAAAAGTGTTATGCTTATTAATAAAAATTTTAGGTCACTAATGTTAGCTGCTTCTTGGCCCAGGAGAATCTAACTTGCTTTGTTGTTCTCTTCCCCTGAAGAAAAGGAACAGCATGTATTTTATTCCGTACTTGTGATGTTGATCTTCCCTAACCCGCCACAGCCCTTTGTAGCAGCTATGTGATGTTTCCAAGGAAAACCAGTCATTTCCATGAAAGGCATCAGCTGCCCAGTGCACACGAGTCTCTGCTAAGAAGCATGCTGTGCATGGTCATGGTTATGTTGCAGTATCAGATCTCAAGTCAAGGAGTTGCTAACTGCATTCTTCTGTATTTTAGTTCTCAGCGAAAGGACCCTGGAAACATTGCAAACTGTTCTATTACCTAAGTTTGAATTGCCACTGAGCACTCTAGGTAAAAATTATTAAATACTGTAGCTTTATTATGACCTTAGACATTTTATGCATGCTTGAAAGACGTCTTTAAGTTCATTCATTCAAATTCATGTCCTCACAGGAAAAAAGAGACAAATGGCTTATAGAACAATAAGCTTCCGATCACCCAAGCCCTTAAATGTGATATAATGACTATTTTATAATTTAGGGTCCTAAAGAAGTTCCCCCTATAACAAATCCTTTGGTTGTTTTTCTTTTTGGTGGTCATATTTTGATATTATATTTCTTTTCATTGAGAACCATTTTGTCACTGAACAAATTGGTATTTTCTGTATTTTTCCTAAATGTTTTTACTCAATTGTTACTCTTGACAGAGAAAATATATTTATGATATTTCTTTATGAGTACAATATCCAAAAACTGGAGGGGAAAGCTTATATATAAAGCGATATAATTACCAAAATTCTATATTTTTTTTTTTTTTTTGTCCTTTTTGTGACCGGTAAGGGGATCGCAACCCTTGGTGTGGTGTCGCCTGCACCACACTCAGCCAGTGAGCGCACCGGCCATCCCTATATAGGATCCGAACCCACGGCAGGAGCGCCGCTGCACTCCCAGCACCACACTCTCCCGAGTGAGCCACGGGGCCGGCCCCAAAATTCTATTTTTAAAAGCTATTAGATGAGCATTATCTGTTCAGATGTATTTGGTGCTTGGTTTCAATTTAAATGTGGTGTAACCAAAAGTACACATAAACATAGTTGAAGAAATCTGGGAACTAGTTTTAATAAGGGTGAAAAGAAGAGCCCATATACCTCAAATTTAATGGCTGTATTACAAAAAATTGAAAGAGAAACTTTGTTATCCAGCATTAAAACACAGAAGTAAGAAATGCCATTAAAGTCCCTCACTTAATATGAGATAACTTGCTTTTTTGTTTGTTTTTGTCTTTGCAAGCTTAAGATTTTTACAATCTTTGCTCTGTTACTTGCACTTCAGGTAGTAACTTTACTTGTGTGTTTCATTACAGCTCCAAAACGGCTTCCAGAATTTCCTGAGGCAAAAACACCCTTCCTTTTTGAGAAACCCGGGGGCACTGTGGGTAATTAGAGTACCTTAAATTTGATGTTTAGTACATGGGTGGTGATTGCTTAATCCTGTAGGACAGGATTACTGGGTCCTGCCTCTGCAAACCTGAGTGAACTGATGAATTCAGTTCACTTAGGCAGACAAGTGGTTGATTTGATTAAAAAGAAGAAAAAGAAAAAGAAATCTATTTGTCTGATTGGATTTTTTACAAATTCAGTAAAAATCATAAGTCTATTAAGTCCAAGTAATCCATTTAGTTAGTTTTCTGTCCTTAAAAATGTTGAGAGTGTGACTCTAAACTCTGGTCTCTCTAGCCACTAATGAAATGATATCTAGATGGGTGCATATTCATTTCTTCTTCATATACAATTACTTTTAATTGTATCCATGTGTGCTTTTTATTTCAGGCTTCTGGTAACCTCTTAACCAAACCAGCAACCTATTTCTGACCTTTTATATCTACAAAAAAACTTCAGTAAATTCCATTTCTTTTCAATATAGCTTCAAGTGAGAAGCCATGGATTGTTCCTACAGCTGGAACATCTGAAGACTCCAAAGTTCTGCAGCCTCAAACTGGTAATTGCATTCTTTTTAAAAAATAGATTATGAAAAGAGTTATTGAGTAGCTTCTCTTGTTTTTGTTTCTGTAGGTTCCTTAAATGATTATCAATATACTTCGTAGCAAATGGAAAACAAATAACACATTCTTGATACTTAGATGAATCTCATTTTTTCCCCAGTACAAAAGCAAAATTGTTTTGCATTTGTTTTAAAGGTATGCTTCTCAATTTCTGGATATATTATTAGAAGTCTGATTAGAACTTGAGCTATGAATTGGGTAGTTGATTTTCTAGAGATCTCTTTAGTGAGATGAAAACAGTAAAAAAATAAAAAGCATTATCATGGGTATGATTTAATAGCATGAGCTTAGTGTTTCCCTTGCAGGTAGATATTTGCTTCTTTTTCAGCAAAATAATTCAATGAACATTTGAGAGCTTACTATGTGCAAAATATTGTACTAAATTCTAAAATCTGTAAGCATATCACTATATAAAGGAAAAACCACAGTTCTATATTTTTACAGCAAACCAATGCCTTTTTCATTTGATTATGAACAGGTTAGTAATGGAGTTAATAATGGACCTTGGTTCCAGTTCTGGCTTTCCTACTTATCCTATGATGTAGCTATTTTTCTCTACTTTTCGGGGCCTCAGATTCCTCTTTTGTAAACTGTGGCAATTGCCTTTTTTTCTCTTGACAATTCTTGTGTTCCACCATTAAAAATGGTTGACATATCTTCCCTTTATGCAAAAAATAGACTTTTCTCAATTAAAAAATTTTCTCCTGTAACACCTTTTCTTTGATGCCTAATAGTCAACTAAAGAAGAGAATATTCAACATATGAGAATTATCGGAAAACCTCAGAAACCATCTTTTATGGTTATTTCCATGATTTTTTTTGTTTTACTTATTTGTATTTTAAATTCGTGAACCTTCTAATAATTGTGACTTTATTTCGGGTACACATTACATAGTATCTAATGTAGTAGAAGCTCATATAATAAGGTTAAATACACTGATATTTTGTGGTATTCTTCAGAGAGGGTCCAGCAGAGGACTAGTTTTGAGAAAGAATGAGAAGGAGCCTTCAGATACATAGATCTTAGTCAAATTATCCTTTCTCTAGTAAGTGTAATGGTCTCAGATCTCAGCAAAAGATACAGGATAACACCAAATTGTGTATGTCTATTATAGTCTCCCTTGGTTTCATCAGGTAGGAACACACTTGAAAGCGGACCTTGGTTGTCAGCCAATCAACAGAAGACTCAACTTGAACCTCTCAGAACTTCAGTTTCCCCATCTATAAAATGGAAATAATGTATACATTTTCATCCAGTTGTTATGTCTTAGAAATAATGTATAAATCTCTTAATATCATGCATACTACAAAAAGGGGCATCCCATTATCATTTCCTTAATGCAGTGGGCTCTTGCACTGATGGCTTTCTGTCCGACCATACTGCCCATCACAAATTTCCTGAATTGTTGCAGATAGTCAGTCACCTTAATAGTAGCAAAATTCTTTGTTGTTAAAATTATTTAATAAAAGCAAAGAAGGAAGAGGAGAAAAAGACTCTAAGCTCATGTATTTATATGAGTATACCAAACGACCTGTGCGTCTTCATTTTTGCTTGCATGAAAATTTTTAAGGAGAATGGAAAGGACATGCTCAGTGTTATTCATAGAGGCCCTGCAATCCTTGGGACTAGCCTGATGTCCTATTAACCCTACGGCAGGATGGTAAATCGTATCACATAGTTTCATGCTCAGTCAGAATGGCAGCCCGAATCACTCTGTAAGCTGGGCTCTGAGGCCCTGCCGAGGCTCAGTGAGTGAAATGAGGCACAATCAATTTGCCTTGTTTTCTGTGGGCCCCAGAGATGGGAGGAGCAGCATAAATGCTGTATGTTTATCATCCCACAGAAGGAGCATGGGCATAATTTCTAAAGGCCTTATGTGGCTTGGGAGGATGGGAAGGATGAAAATGAGGCTTTTGCTTCTGGCTTGCTAATGCCATCAGTGTTAAGCCTTCTTAATTTACATGATCGTCACCTTAAAAGCCCATCATTTACTACCAGGATATACTAAATGAAGAAAACCAAATGAAATCAAATGAAGAAAATGGTTGTAAGCCCAGGATGATTCAATGTGTTTGTTTTCATCCTTAGAAAACATTCCTGCCTGTTCTTTCCCCAAAGTGACCAGACAAACCAAATTTTCTTTCCTCCATATGTGCTCTGACTTCTTTCCCCTTGAACCATACAGGTTATCCTTTAGAGACTTCCCTTGGCAGAGTCAGAGCCAAGGACAGTCAGCCTCAGTCTTTCCATTAGAACCCACTTTGGGAGCTTCCTTTAGGAGGTCATCAATAATTCTTTTCAGTGTTAAATTCCTTTAATACTTTGCAGCACTCTAATACATTGCAATACGGACTTCAGCTCTGTAAATTAAAGACTTGAAAGCTGAAGTGATCAGCACATATAAGGAGTAGTATATTGGTTAGAAAGTTTGGGCTACAGGTGTTTGCTCAGAGCAATTGAAAAGATGTAAATTCTACATTTGAACCTTATTGCCTGCTCTGTGAGGTGTTGACTAGCATAGATCTGCGCCCCCGCCCATATTGGTTAGAAAGTTTGGGCTACAGGTGTTTGCTCAGAGCAATTGAAAAGATGTAAATTCCACATTTGAACCTTATTGCCTGCTCTGTGAGGTGTTGACTAGCATAGATCTGCGCCCCCGCCCCACCCACCCAACTGGGTTAAGCCCTAGAGAGGAGGGAAAGGATAGGAATGGGTCCACCCACCCAACTGGGTTAAGCCCTAGAGAGGAGGGAAAGTAGGAATGGGTGACAGTTTTGATGCTTTAATAGCAGGAAAATAGAATTCAAGCACAGCAGACAATTTACAGATTCACTATGGCCTCGTAGCGATTTACAGCCTCAGCCTTTGATTTTATTTCACAAACATTTTCTTGCAGGCAATATTTTCCCAAATTTCAAGGCCAACCAGAACGGCATTTTGCTTTTCCATTAACCAAAGAAAGCATTATTCATGTGTATAAATGGTACTGAGAACTCTGTGTGTGGTGGTGTGTTTTTCTCTTCTAGCTACTTATGTTATATTTTTTCAGTGTTCTTCATATTTGTTTTTAGAATTCTATTTCCATGGCAGGGTATGGCCACACAAGCATGTGGCAGGTATTTGTGTAGCGGAGGAGGAGGTTTATGTGCCCACATTTGTGTATCATGAAATAATTAAAGGACATACTTATTTATTCCCCAAACTAAGCCAAAAAGCCATTATCCTTACTAAGAGCTAAACTACCCAGCTGTCAAACTCCCCATTATTTGTTTGTTATAATGGATATCTTGCAGATTAATTCTACTGAGTATCCACCATGTACCAAGCTCTAGAGTAAACCCTAACATGCATAATGAGCATGACAGTCACAATTTCTACCTTAATGAAGTCTTTTGTCTAAGAATTTATGTTTAAAAAGGAAAATCTTTCACATAGTTAGATATTCAGGGAATTTGGGTAAAATAACATATTAAACTCTTAATAATTTGAAATTTTTGTCGGTGTGCCATCACATGTTTCCAGAGCAATATCATGGCATTTTTATCATGGACTTTGCATCTAGTCAGGTTTTCAAAGTAAAACTAAAATGGACAACCACCAAAGCATAATTTCACAAATGTGGTTTTAGGACATTATAGAGCATATGGTAGCACAGGTTACTTCATTTTTTTCTCTGAAAAATCTGAAAGTAAAATTTAGTTATGATTTTAAGTCATGACTGCGTTTTGAAAGAAACTAATGTTGTTTTCTAAAACCTTTGAATTGAACTACCTATTTTACTTGTTTCATGAAATTCCTCCTACAGCTTTTGATGCCAGTATTTTCTGTGAATGCAAGATCAGAGACATTGTTTAATGTCAGACAGCTGTAGCGTTTCAGCCACTGAAGTATAATTAGGTGACAGAAGATGTTTGTCTCTAATCAGTAATATATGGTAGCATGTAGACTGTCTGAAATACAAAAGGGTTCACCCCTAACTCTTGGCTATTTATCAACTTTATTGCTGGAGTAGCTTTTTTGGAAATCAGAACTAACCATTTCATTAATTTTACTCTGGTAAAACATGCATACAACAATGGTTTTGTAAGGAAATCAAGAGTGTTTGATTTTTAGAGAACTTTATTCCAACACTGTCTTCTCCTCTGACATTACTTACTTCAGAGTCAAAAGATCTTGTTTAAGTCCTGAAAAAAATGAGGCAGTGCTTCTCAGAGCTGCCCAAACAACATAATACTTTGTGTGGTATTTATAGGTTTTGAGTAACCCCCCCTTTTTTTTAACTTCCCAGCACAAAAACTACAGAAAAAGAAATACCAAGGACCAGGTGTTATCATTGTTACTTTATGTGTTACTTAATCTCAAGTAAGTTTGAGAAAATGTATGGAAGTAAGAACTCCCGGACAAATGGGAACTTTCAGACATGAGCCACACTTGCTGGAGGGGGTGGAAGGAGAGCTTCTTTCCCCAGTAAATGCCTTGTGGGATATCTTGAGCGAAGTTGGCGGCTTGGCTTGGAACCTCCAGAATGGAAGGAAATTGTAAATATGGAAAATAAGTAAAAAGAGGGGGGAATAAATATCGTCTCTTAGAACAAAAATAAAGACCATAGGAAAATTGGTCCAATGTCACTAAATGAAAGGGAGATTTAGGAGTTAGAATAACATAAAGACAGTCATGGCATTTTTCAAAAGCAATAATACAAATAAAAGTCAAGCTGTTAATTCATAATTTCTTACCTAGTTTGGGACGGTTAAGTACAAGTTGGCAAAGTTTTCCTAATTTATTTAGTAGTAGATAGAGTTGACTTTGTTAGGTCCATGACTTGAAATTGGCCTAAAGCAAGCCTGAGATCAGAAACTGCCAGTCTTTTGTCCTTTAAAAGATTAGTCATTCTTATCTGACCCTTTAAACTTGCAGCAAATCTTTACATGATAGTTTGACAGATGTATTCGCAGAATGCGTGCATATTTTAACTCACAATATTCTTTGTTTTTGAAGATTTTGTAAAGCAGTAGATTCACATTCATAAACTGAAATGTACTTCCTACCTCTTCAGCCTGTGGTGCAATATAAGGTGCCCTCTACTTTCAGAGCAGACCACATGGTCTGATATTATCTTTCTTATAGCTTCAACCGGCAATGGTTCTAAATTATCACCACTGAATTACAAGTAACCCCCCATGGGTAAATCTTCCTATAATCTCTGTCCTTTTTATTTTATTTCCATACAGCCATTTTGAATGGGCAAGCAAAGAGACATCTACCTCATAACAGTTCGTGCTTTATCCATACCTCTCATTACCATAGTGATAGCTCTTTGTACATAAAGAAGAACATTTTTTTGATGCTATTTTTGCTTGCAGGTTCAACTCTTACGTGAACATGAAAATTATCCCGGTATTCAGATCATTCAATTATTATGTTTAAATTCATCCTACTTTCTTTATTTCATGTGAGATAGAAAATTTATCTTTAAACCCACCTGGATTGTAGCAGGGCTCACGGCTCCATGGAGGAATGTAGAAAGAAAGTCACCTCTAGGTAAAATGGCAGGAGCATAGTGCCAGAGGGAGTCGTGGTCTTAGCCCTGCTGTTCCTGGTCCTACTGATTGAATGGAAAATATGCTGAACTTGACAGTTCCAGTGTGTGACTGCTAGCAAATGTCTTCACTACCGTAAACTACAATTTCATTATTTAGAAAATGGAGGTAATACCCCATTATCTAGAAAATGGGAGAATTGCCTACCTCATCTATTTCTCAAGGATGTTAATAGAGTTAAATTAGCTGATGTATGTGAAAGTTCTGTGCAAACTGTAAAGTGCTGTCCAAACACGAGATGTTATGAAAGGTAACTTTTACTAAGTAGAAAGCCTAAGCAATAGACTTTGTGCAATTAGCCTCAGTGTGACTGCTGTTCCCTTCTTTAGAAATCTCTCCCCAAACTACCATCAGACTTTATGTTTATACTCTTTGAAGCTCTGATTTAGAGCTGTGACCACTTCATTATAAATATGTAGCACTATGTTCATATCACCCCAGAGGCAGAGTCAGGGCTTGCTACCTAAAATCCTGCAATTCAAAGCAAGAAGGACCAAACACAAGTCTTGATGATTCATGATGAGGCCAGTAGCACCTACATAAAACTGTTCTTCAGCCAGCATTAAAATATCTCATGAAATCTTTCAAAATTAATCAAAACTAACCTCTCTCTTGTTTTACCTTTTTTTTTTTTTTTAAGCAACTTATGATGTTTTCTCAAGCCCTACAACATCCGATGAGCCTGAAATATCAGAGCCCCACACAGGTATACTCAGCCTCTCGATTCTGTTTTTGGATCCTGGGTGTTCTGACAACACCTAGTGGTTCTCCTTAGTTTTTGCAGAATGAAAAAGTGTGCTCTCTAGAACTCCACAAAGAAGAAATAGTCATCTGTGTCAGGGAAATGAACTCTACCTACTCCTCCCATTCACTGAATATTTCTTTACACCCATCAGTAAATAAGCTCCGTCACATGAAGGAGATACAGATAGATTTGGTTGCCACTGAGCGAAAGTAATATAATGGCCTATCACCCTATTGCTAAGAATCATTCTAAAAAGATTTCAGAGTCTTGGAGGATTTTCTTCAGAGCAATGGTTTGCAAATGGGGATGATTTTGTCCCCCACCCCAGGTACATTTGGCAATGCCTAGAAACATTTTCAGTTGTCACAACTGGGGAAGGTGCTACTGGCATCTAGTGGATAGAGGTCAGGGATGCTGCTAAACCCTTACGGTGCACAGGACAGCCTCCCACAGCAAAGAATCATTTGGTCCTGAGTGTCAGTAGTGTTGAGGTGAGAAATCCTGCAGTGGAATGATCACACCATTCATTCATTTATAGAAGTTCAGTTGGGTCTAATCTTTTGCATTTGCTTTCTGATCCAGCTCTAGTGAGTTACCTCTGTCCAACAGTTCTCTTTAGCAAGTGTTTATCAAAACCTATTAAACTAGGTACTGTAGGAGGTTCAGAGTGAATAAGATGGTCTCCGCCAGGCATAGATATATGTCTGATATTTTTTGTATGTGTAGTCTTATCTCAGCATTTGTGTCATGATAAATAAAGGCAAATGATTTTAAACAGCAGCAGAAAATAAGAAAAAAAAGTGAAATAGAAAGCTAATAGTGGATTCATTTACCAAGTATGAAACAGAAGAGAAGAAACCAGAAAAATCAGTTGAGAACAGGTTGAATGTATGAGACACTTTTATAATGGTTTGTAATATTTAAAGTATGTGTGTTTTTAAAAGTGAGCTAATCTTTAACATTTAGTGAATCACTAGTTTTAAAATGTTGGTCAGCAATCCCTCAACTGTTATTGATATTTTCCCCATTTGAGGCATAATTTATTACTCATGAATTTGTATTTTATTCCTGGGGCCTTCTACTGCTTTTATAAATGTTGACGTTTATTCCAACAGCAACAAGTGATGCTATTTTGGATTCTGTCCCACCTAAAACTTCTAGAACTCTTGAGCAGCCAAGGGCAACACTGGGTAATGTTTTTAACAAAAAAATCACACTTTGTTTTCCATCAAAAAAAAAATCCATGTGAATGCTTTTCGTCCCAATGACCATTTCATCCATCACATCTAATTGTTTATTTCTCTCCTATTTCTGAATATACATACATATTATTCTAAATGCAGGCATCTTTAACATTCCATTTTGAGCTCTCTCTCTCTCTCTTTTTTCTGAATTGCCATAGATGATATTTTCCTTTTCTCTAAAGTTGTGAAAAGCTTTGAGAATTGCATGGACATTCACCCACGTCATCTTATCCCATGTGTTTGGGCCTGTCTCATCCACTTCCATGCACTGAGTCTGCCTGGAGTCAGCTACTGAACAGTTTTTATTTTAATCTTTTCTCCACTGTAAATCATAATTTTATCTACCAGCTTCCAAAACTACATGCATTTTTCACCCTTAATCATGTACTTGGAGCATGTGCATCATACCATCTAAAAGCATGTTAAAGTCTTAAAATACCTCATTTTAACTGGGATTATTTGGTGGGATGGGGTGTTTGTGCTTTCAGCTCCAAGTGAAACACCATTTGTTACTCAAAAATTGGATATCTTTACCAGTCCTGAAGTGCAACCTACAACACCTGGTAACTAACAACATTTGTATAGTTGTTGTGTACTTTGAAAGAACAGGTAAAGTGACAAAAAAGGAGTCGTGTTGGCCTTTTCAGAATATTTTTAGTACTACACATTTGCCTTTATTCTCTGCCATGAAATTCATCAAAGAACTGAGTTATCTGTCATACATAGCCTTGTGATAATCCTCAAAAATTTCCATAATCCTAGAGAACAGAACTAAGGTTACCAGAGGTGGGAAGGGGTGGGGTAAGGGAGGAATTGATAAAGACCATAAAAAATGATAACATTGAATAATATTGAACATAACATACTAGTTATCCTGATTTAAAAAATAATAATAAATTTCAAATAAGCAAATCTTTAACTATGTTCTACTTTAGGTATATCTACTCAATTCATCTTCTTATATTGTTCAAATAATCTTTTACAGAAGAAACTAACTGCTGTTTTAAGTATAGCTTTGGAATTAGAATTGCTTGGTTCAAATTGTTGCTCAATTTGTTACTAGTTCTGTGACTTTGGGAACATTAGCTCACCTGAGTCACTTAGTGACTTAGTAATCTCATTTTTAAAGTAAAGAAAATAATAGTATCTATCCATAGACTTGCTCTGATGGTTAAATAAGATTCTTTACATAAAGTGCTTAGTATTGTGCCTGGCCCAAAATAAGCATTCAATAAATGTTATACTATAAATGAATAAATAAATAAATAAGAATTTCCATAATCCTGATGTGTATATATTTTAAAGAATCGTTTCTTTCCAATACTTTTCAACTTTGTCAGCTAGAAAATAGCAGGAAAATTATGTATGGCAATTATTTTAAAATATATTCCCTTCTATTTAGCACATTTAGATACCACTTGATCAGAGTGGTTCACCCAAAGTTGTCTAAGTGTAAAGAGCAGCAGGTAGGCTCTGCAGTCCTAGGCATGATGGAGAAAGATGGGTGAAAGAGAGGCAACACAACCTACATTTTATTATAGGAAACTGTTGGAATATTAAAGTTCATTAACTCCTGGTGAGGATAATAATGAACTACAGAATTAAAGAAGTTCTGAACTTTCCATTCTCTGACTCCCAAATATTTTTTTGTGCCTCTCCCCGACTAGTCAATGTTATCCTTTTGAGATCTTCATTATACCTTGTGTTTCAAGAGTGCTCAGTTTTAAGTACGTTTAATTGAAAAATGTATCTTCAGTTCTCATGTAGAAATTCAATTCCTGTTGGCCCAGTCAACACTTGTTTATTGACCACCTACTTGGTAGAAAGCATGGTGCTGGGCATTCTAGGGATACAAAGAAATATAAAGCAGTTCTTGCACTCAACAAGTTTACAAGTTTACAGGCACAACCCGATGATCTCTGAGAAATATCATTTATCAAAACTGTATTAAATCTTCTTCTTTCAGCTCCCCAGCAAACTACATCTATCCCTTCTACACCTAAACGACGCCCAAGGCCCAAAACACCAAGAACTAAACCTGGTAAATAAATGTCTCTTTAACCTTTTAAGATATTCATTTCCAAATGGATAATGTCCATCTCTTTATCATAAAAAGAAGTGATATGATTCTATAGGTTAGTTTCTTTTAAAAATATGAAATTAACTGAAGATGAATAGTTAATAATGCAAAATAACAAAAATCAAATGCCTCAAATAGGATTTTACTGAATATTATGTGATATTTTTGCACATGAGTTTTGGTATAAACCTAGAAACAAGTCCGGCTGTTACAGCATTACACAGTGAGATTTGTAACTCTTTTTTTTGGGGGGGGGGTCTGCATCTATATGAGGGGTCTTCAAGAAGTTCATGCAAAAGATTTATTGTCTGTTAATTCTGTTTTGAAGTACCCTCATATTTAAGTGTTTGTTAGGCTGACAGTTTTTGTTTTTCAGTGCCTGTGTCACTTCTGGGCTGAGAGGGATTTTAGGTTTCAAAGAAATAAATTGTGTTTTACTGGGAGCTGGAAAAGGCACTGAAAAACAAAAACTGTCAGCCTAACAAACACTTAAATATGAGGAGGCACTGAAAAACAAAAACTGTCAGCCTAACAAACACTTAAATATGAGGAGGCACTGAAAAACAAAAACTGTCAGCCTAACAAACACTTAAATATGAGGAGGCACTGAAAAACAAAAACTGTCAGCCTAACAAACACTTAAATATGAGGAGGCACTGAAAAACAAAAACTGTCAGCCTAACAAACACTTAAATATGAGGAGGCACTGAAAAACAAAAACTGTCAGCCTAACAAACACTTAAATATGAGGAGGCACTGAAAAACAAAAACTGTCAGCCTAACAAACACTTAAATATGAGGTATTTTAAAATCATGGATTAAAATCACTGTTTTTACTTAGAGTAAACCAGATGAAAATTTATCACTGTGTTTCTAATAAACGGTACTCTCTGAAAGGATCGTGAAATATTCTTTTAATGGAGTATTTCCAAAATCTTCCAAGTTTATTTTTAGGTTTTAACATATAGTTTATTTTTAGGTTTTCCTTCTGTAGTTTTAGGCACTGCAATGCCTAAATATTGACTTGTTGATTATTTTGTTTCTTTATTTTTCCAGCTCCCAGTAAAACACAATTTATTTCTTTGAAACCTAAAATCATTTCTAATAAATGGTACTCTCTGAAAGGATCGTGAAATATTCTTTTAATGGAGTATTTCCAAAATCTTCCAAGATGATGGATTCATTCCACTTAACATATAGTTTATTTTTAGGTTTTCCTTCTGTAGTTTTAGGCACTGCAATGCCTAAATATTGACTTGTTGATTACTTTGTTTCTTTATTTTTCCAGCTCCCAGTAAAACACAATTTATTTCTTTGAAACCTAAAATCCCTCTCAGCCCAGAAGTGACACACACCAAACCTGGTAATTACTCTAAACTTTTTTTAATATTCCAAAAGTAGGGTTGAAAAATTGTTTTATTCAACTGTTTGGAGCAAGAATTTCTGATTTTTACTTTGGTATTCGTTACATTTTTCTACGGAAAGTGCAAGAATGCAATAAAATGATCTCATTTATAACCAGCCCCTCTGATATTATCCTGGCATTGCTCTGAGCATTTGGTGAATCATATGTTCATGACGATCACAGAGAAAACATAGAAATGTAACGATGTGGACAATTGCGGACTCCCTTGTCTAGGACTGCAGCATAGTTTCCAGTACCAAAGTCGACTGGAATTCGGATCACACTGAACAATAGCCTTTCAACTGGAAAGGGGAAAAGTGTTTTCATCCCCTAAGAACTCTGCCTTGTTTTGGGGCGTCTCAGTTCTCAGGCTGTAAGACCAGAAAGGCTTATATTTTCCTAATGCTCCAAGACTTCTAAATTAGGGCTGATTTCTGAACACTGACTTCTATTTACCTCTCAGGAAATTTTAATGGTGTTTTGCCAAAGAAAGGAAGGCTTTTTTTGCAGGAAGGGATTATTCTGTACACATAAAATTAAAAACAGAAACAATTCCCTGCATTAGGATTGCAGCACATGTTAAATGACCAAGTCTTCACATTTTCTATCTATCTGGAATCTATACAGCAGTCTTAAATGTTGACTTATAAGATTAGCTATGGGGGAACTTTGTCACGATTTGTTGTTGTTGTCATCTAAACTCTAAATTCTTAGCTCTGGGAAAAATATTTTTCTCACTATAATGTTTAATGGGTTTTGAATTTGTATTTCCAGTAATGGTATGTTTACAAAGCAGGATTATTAAAGCAGGAGATTTTCTGTTTAAGTGGGCATGATTTAATTTGCAATGAAATGGGTAAGAAAAAGAATTCTTATAACTCCCTTTAAAGAAGCAGTGAGATTTCCAGGTGTAGGTGGCAGACTGAAGGAAATTAGTGATTAAGCAAAGGGAATGTAGTTGACACTATGATTATGACTGTGGGTGAGGTCTCCAAGTGAGAGAAATGGAATAAAAACTCCCACTTAGAGAGGTCACTTGAAGAAAGAAGTGTACTTACTAAAACTCAAAAGCCCTACCAGTCTAAGTCAAAGAACTCTGAGAGCTATATGAGAGAAGGATTTAATGTACATTTCTTTAAAAATCATGCTTAGAGGACATTGGAATGAGGAAGTAACTATTATGCTTTATTTTGAACAGAGGGCTATTGCCAAGCAGATCAAGAAGTATTACTGTATGTTTGGGTCACCAAATTTAAATAAATATGTCTCCAATGTAATTATTTGTTATTACAAGAAAAAATTTGAAAACATCAAAAAATTTTTCCAAATGTTGGTTACAGTTTATACATGATAAGTTACATTACTGATTTCAGTGGTTTCCAAGAAAAAATTTCTTAGGGGAAATTTATTCATTAATACAAATAAGGGTGGGAGGGAGTGTTCTTATCATTGTAAGGTGTTTGAGCATGGAGACTTCTTAATTTGACATTTCCTTTTAAAAGGGGAAAAATTATTTGGAAGCTAACATGTTTATATTCCTTTGATTTGTAAATCTTCTGATCACCTAAGAATATCCACCCTTTTTCCCTTAACAGCAGGTATAAGTGCTTCAGAATCCAGGCCCAAACCTATGCCAACTCAAGTTGACTTTGAGGAGTCCAGGGCAACACAGAGTAAAGGATGGATCTCTGCAAACCATTGCTTTGGTTTTAGCTTCTTAACTTTTATTTTACTTTATTTATTTTTATTATAGGTCAGGCCACCTTTATAGCTCTGCTGAAGATTTATGTTTCTAGCCAAGGTTCAGAAGAGCAAAATAAACCACCAAAAGCTCCTTAATTTGAGTAATTTTGCTGCCTTTCCCAGCCGGCCATCTGCTCACATACTACTGTCTTTCCATTTCACTTCCATACAGACTGCTTTTTCTTAGGTTTTCCTTCCCAGTTAATGGGTAAAAATCCACATTGGTTTGGGCTTGTTTTATAAGTATGATCCAGTGCATTTTTCAAACATCATAGTCACCTACAATGTCCCAACTTTTCTACCTCATGCAATGAGAACTGTTTCCTTCATGGTTTAATCTTTGAGATGGTAATGACATTCTGCTCTCTTAAGCTTTTAATGGACTGAAAAAAAAGGGGAAGGGCACCCCCCCACCACCACTACCACCAAGTGCCAGTGTTTGTTTTACACAGCTCTTTCCATGTTGGGTAGGATTTTAAATTGTTCTCATTACTAGCCACACATCCATGAGTATGTGTCTGTTTTTACTGAGGTGAGTGGCTTAGTCATTTGCAGGATACTCAGCTTTGTTATGGAACATTTTATGCCTTTATCCCTAACACATTAAGGTCATAAAAAGAGTAAGTTCTGTCAGAAGATGTATTTGTTTTTACTAAACATAGACTTTACTATTATATGCAGTTGACTCTGACTCTTAATCGATGTGTTTCCGTCCCTATTTGGAATTTAAAGATGCAGATTTTTCTTTATAAAATTCCAAAAACAGCATTCTTTAATCTTTGTGAAGGCTAGAGAGGTTAAGTAGCAAATCTTACATTTTCACACTTTTAGAAGGCAACTTTATAGAAACAAAAACATGAATTACAACTTCAAAGTTTCAAATTTTTTTTTGTTATTTACTATTTTCAGGTGCAGATGCTTTCACAATATTTATTATATTTTACGTATTGATGTCCCCCCCTTTTGTCTATAGAATTTGAGACACCCAGACATAATCACACTCACACACACTGTCCTTCTCTTTCCCTCCTCTCCACCCAGCCTCCCCTTCCCTCCCTGTCCCCCCCACCACTCTCACTCCCCCCCACTACACGCTCCCTCTAACACACACACACACACACACACACACACACAATTTTTTCTTCGGTGTGTATACTTTAATATGACACATTACTACTCTTTTGCCATTCATCTGTTAAAATCTGTTTTGGGGCAAGTTGGAAATCAGAGTTCTGGTGTTTTGGGGTTTTTTTTTAATCATTGCCTTTTAACTCTGTTCTTTCACACCTAATTTTTACTCTTCTATTTTCTCACACAAAGATTTTTTGGCCACAGACACGCTAATGAATGATGCTGCCTTTAAGTAGCACCTGTGCTATTATATGCATTGCTTTCAGAATAAATGAAAATTCTCTAGCTGTATTATTTGTTGTCATGTTTTCTTTTTCAGTTGCTAAAAACTAGTTGCTATATAGTGGCTGTATAGAATTTTTCGTTAAGGTTTCTTTTTCAGTCACTACTTGCTTCCCCCAAACCTGCCACATTTCCAGTCCGGTAATATTAGAAATAACTCCTGGTAAATGCAATATCAGAAACATATAAGTAGCAGAATGATTTTAGTTCTGTTAAGATGGCAGTGAGTGCCACATTAATTAATTTCTGTAAGAAAAAAGTCAAAGAATCTTGTTTTCTATTTCAAAAATAAATTGAGCCTATTTATTTTCTTCTTGAAAAAAATAATTTCTTTTTGTTCATAGAATAGTAAGAAACCTGTTGGATAATCTTTTTAAAAGCCCAGGTAGATATTGTAACCAAACTACATTCAACATGAAGTACAATTTACTTACTGGCTGTTTAAATAAACATCAGAGGGTTTGTTATCTATCAGAATATTTAAATAATGTTATTATTAAGTTAATTCAGCATTGCATGAAATCTGAGACCGATTTTAAACTCCTATTGACTTACCAAAGTGGATTACACAGCATATGTGAAGCCATTTATTTACTGGAAATAAATGCTAATAAATATGGGGACCACTATATGAACACTTGTGGCCCCTTTTGGACCACAAGTTTAATTCCTATCTTTAATGAAAGAATTCAGGTGCAGCCAAGATGGAGTTCATTTAAAACCAACAGAGCACAGACAGAGTAACAGGTCTGGTGGGTCTGTTTCCTCTTCCCACTTCCTTAGATGAACCTGTATGTCCTGCAGAAAAACAAAGTAGCAGGTGACAGGACATTCAAGACAACCTCAGAAGGGCTATTCTGAACTCCCTTTAAATTAGCATTTTCTCCACCACCAAGGGCAGTCTTCAGAATATTGGGTAGCGAGGGCAATGGCGAAAGATCAACAACAGAAATTAAGAATTCTCGATTCTTGCTTTATTGCGTTTGTGGGGAGGATAAGGGATGATTGAGCTTCACTGTCATAAGAACTAGAACCTAACCACTCATCAAGAAAAGACACTTTTTTATGGTAAAGAACGTTTAACTTCTTTTTTTTTTTTTTAATTTTTATTTTGTCAATATACAATGTATATGATTATTATGGCCCATCACCGACACCTCCCGCCCTCCTCCCTCTCTCCCATCCCCCCCAAGAATGTCCTTTCCGTTTGCTTAGAACGTTTAACTTCTATCTGAGATGGTGCTCTTCAGAGATATTTTTGATATTGTTTGCTTTTATTGCAGTCCCAGAACCTCAGACTCGACTATCACAGTCAACAATAGACAATAAAACTTCCTTTAAGAGTGAAAAAGAATTACTTTTCTTTAATACCCTCTATGTTCAATTTTGTCCTTAGCTTTGGCTTTTTTTTTTTTAATCTTTCTTGTTTTTTCCAGCCATTTTTCCAGTAGATGTACTCTCTGCCCGTGTTTAATTAAGCAGAGGCTCCGTGACAGCCATGAGAGCCATGCTGACTTAATACACTCTTTATTGTCCCTCCTTATACTTGGGGACTATGTCCTGAGCTTGTCCTAAACTTTTGTTATTGCCAGTGGAAGACCCTGATTTTCTAGGGCATATTTGTGCTTTTACTTTTGGAGATGTTTTTCTTACTTTCAAAATTCCAACATTTGCAGATTTTCTTGAAAAGCACGATGCTCTTTCCACATCTAAGTGCCCTGATGTGTCACTAGGAATCCATTCAGAAACGAATAGAAAAACCAACCCCAATCTTTATAGCTTCTTTTCTTCAAAAGAGCAAA